GGTATGTTTTTACATTTTTTATTCATGTGGGGTCGGCACGAGTCCCAGTCGAATGTGAGAGTATGTCAACCGGGTGGGTAAGTTTCTTCTGGCAAAGGAGCTTAATTTAAACAAAACATGAGTAGCGGACTAGCAGGTGTAATTTTTTTCCTGAATATATTCATGGTTTAACTTGAATACAAAAAATGAAATTAAAAAAAGTTTCGTTGTCAAGAACACTTTAAAGAAAGAAATTTAATCTGTTTGCCAAAAATATGTAAATTTAAAATCAATAATTGCTTAAACGATGAAATTTTCTTTATTATTTGCACAAGAAAAATAACTCTTCCATTCACATATGTTACCAACGTCGAAATTTGTGAGACTTTTTCAATTAATTCGATTCAAATTAATATTCGCAAGAATTAACGATTTATTAATTAAATTAATTTTCGATATTTGCTTAAATTTACGATATTTTTATTTTTTTATGCGACGTGACAAATATTACTTCAGGATGGATCAATTTATTTTATTTTATTTTTTTAAAAAAGGGATACTATTTTGTACACGTTAATTAACTTAAAAGAAATTTAATTAATTGTTCTTACGAACATATAAGTCATACCCATTTGACTTCATTTGGAAGGTCAAAATAATTGGACACGTTCGATATCCCTAAACAAAACGGACAATGTTAGGGTATCAGAATTTTTTTGACACCCTAGGTGACATACACACACAATAGGGGTGGGTGGGGGGCTTTTTTTTGCATTTTTTATTCATGTGGGGTCAGCACGAGTCCCACTCGAATGTGAGAGTAGGTCAACCAGGTGGGCAAATTTCATCTGGCAAAGGAGCTTAATTCTTTATACAAACAGGGGCTAGGGTTTAAATACATCTTGCCCAATTAGGTCTACAAATAGGAGTAAAAACAAGGACGATGCTAGAGTGCCAGAATTTTTTTGACACCCTATGTGACATACACACACAATAGGGGTGGGTGGGGGGTATGTTTTTGCAATTTTTATTCATGTGGGGTTGGCACGGGTCCCAATCGAATGTGAGAGTAGGTCAACCGGGTGGGTAAGTTTCTTTTGACAAATGAGCTTAATTTAAACAAAACATGAGTAGCGGACTAGCAGGTGTAATTTTTTTCCTAAATATATTCATGGTTTAACTTTAATATAAAAAATGAAATTAAAAAAAGTTTCGTTGTCAAGAACACTTTAAAGAAAGAAATTTAAGCTGTTTGCCAAAAATATGTAAATTTAAAATCAATAATTGCTTAAACGATGAAATTTTCTTTATTATTTGCACAAGAAAAATAACTCTTCCATGCACATATGTTACCAACGTCGAAATTTGTGAGACTTTTTCAATTAATTCGATTCAAATTAATATTCGCAAGAATTAACGATTTATTAATTAAATTAATTTTCGATATTTGCTTAAATTTACGATATTTTTATTTTTATTTTGATTAATTACTTCGACTTTGAACCCCTCAACTGAGATTTGAAAATCCAAATCAATGATCTAATAAGGCTTTATTCTAACCGTTTGATTTGAACTTCAATCTCAAACAAATGATAATTCAATTCTAGAATATTTTTAGAGTAACGAGTTTTGAAATTTTCTTACGAAATTCTCGTTGCATCAAATGAAAATAATTTTATTTATCTTTATGATGATGTAATATCAAAGACGTGACATTGCTCAATATAAAACTAGAAGCAGTGCAAATAACATGTTTCACATTAAAAAGTCTCAAGTGGTAATAATATTAAGGGTGTGTTTGTCTCCTATTATTGGGAGAGAAATAGAGTACTGAATAGTATTTTTTGGAGAATGTGTGGTTAAAATTTAAAGTAACTTTATTGATTTGTGTGTAGAATATTTTATTGGGTGAATGTGTGGTGGAGAATTTTACTGTAACAAATAATTTTTTGAAATAATGGTAGACAAAAGGGCTAAAAGCATAATGAGACAAAATGTAGATTGGCAATAAATAAAATTATTTGTTCATATTTTAATTTTTTGTTTACTTAAAAGGTACAGATTTTTGGTTAGCTTTAGGAATTGAGTGGGGTGGGCCACCTGAAAGTGACGGCGTGGCTGGTGCCGTGGTCGGTGGGGAGTAGTCAACCGCACTCAGGACCAGTTTCATTTCATGGACCCCATTAAGTACAATTATTGGTCCATATTTTCATGGAAGAATTGCCTATGAGGTATCAAACCTTTCATTTCGTAGCAGATTTGATCCACACATTTCATTTGAACAATCATAGGTATAAAACCTTTAAAAAATTGGTGAAGTCCAAAATGACAATTTCATTTTGTTTAACCGCAGAAACCGGCAGTTGACCATAGAAATGAAAAAAATTATAATTTTTCCCAAATAAGACAATAGCATTTTGGACATAACACATTTTCCCTATTAAGTTAAAAATTTAAAAAAATAAAAAAAATCGAAAAACAATACGACAACCCCCTCACCCCTTAACCAAAACCACCCTACCCAGCGCCAGCTGCCACCGCCACTGTCACCGCCGACACCACTGCTTCATCATCGACCCCAAGTAGGGGGATAGTTCTCTTGCTGTTGTCATCACTATTGAATTTTAACTTTTTTTTCTTCCAAACTATCGATAGACTTTGGTATGCAGAGAGTGGAGTAGTAAACAACTGTGGCCACAACCACTCTCCCAAACCTCCTTGCATATATTTTCTTATTGAATAGCGGAATACAAAGAGTCTGGTGGAAACTTCTTGTGGGCCCATAAATGGGACCTATCAGCGAATAAACAACAAGATGAAAATGGAAGAATTGAATTGCTTCGGGGTTTGGGGAATGAAGAAGAGTGATGTATTAGTAGCAGTAGCGATGTACTACTTGGCAACACTCGTCATCGTCATAACAGTGGGTGATGAAGTCTTGAGCAGTATACCAAGTTCAACTCCTTTGCTTATGCCAACATTAATTGCGTCTCTATATAGTGCTTAGCGGCTGCAGAGTTGCATATCCCAAATCAAGATTTCAACTCCCGATTCAGTTTCCATTGTTCTTGGCTCATTGCCACCTTTCCAAGCCTATTATAATCAAACTTAAGTCCTATTATTTTCCAATTGTTAAAGTTTTTGTCAAGAACCCGATCACCTTTGATGATGAACTTGTACCCTTACTATGCGATATAGATCTTGAGAAAGCCATCCTCAAAAGCTTGTCATTAAAGTTGAAAAGTCCAAGTCCGTGTAAACCACACACCGAAAGTAAATATTTTCGATGTAGGAATCAAGTCTCATACCTTACAATGCGAACTATAACAATCCACCACGCTACACGATCCCGATTCCTGTGTGGACGGCTTTGCACTATCTATGACTAGTCCAGGATGAACACTGCTATATTGACGTCATTATATGTGCCACTCGATTGCAACCAGGAGACATGGTGCCTACTTTGATACTACTGATACAGATCTTGAGAGAATCATATATCAAAAGTTAGCTATTGCAATTGGAGAACTCAAACCTATATAAACTATACACCGAAAGTCCATACTTTCAATGTCAGATTCAAATCTCATACCTTACAATGGAAACCATAACACTATGTGTTTATGCAAAATAATGGGGTTGCACTTTTGGATAATTCTTTATTCAAACCCTTAACACCCACTAAAGAAATGGTTGACTCTAATACTTTACTGCATTGCACAAATTTTCTTGATGCCCCAATTGATTGTGTATTTTTCTATGAAGAATCTTAATATCACTTATGTAGGGAAAGATACACAAGTGTGATGCCGAAGGATGGTGCCGACAGTGACGATGGCGACAGACAATTGGGTGGGATGGTTTTGGGGTGAGGGGATTGGGGAAGAAAGAGTTGGGAGGTTGTGATATTATTTTTTTTTCCTTATTTTTTATTTAATAGGGGAAATGTTATGCCCAAATGTCATTTCTTTATTTGGGGAAATTTATAAAAATAAATAAATTGAATTCTAGGGTCAATTGACCGGTTTTGGGGTCAAACGAACAAAACCCGTCATTTTGGACTTTAATTGCAAAATTTTTAAAGGTTTGGTACTTAGTGTGGCACAAAGGAAATGTTTGGATCAAATCTGCTATTAAATGAAATATTTGGTACATTGGCTGCAATTCTCCCTATTTTTATTTAAGAATAGAATGTCTTTCTAATTTTGTTTCTTGGCTTTGTTCTTTGGGTAAAATTGAAGTATTAAAAAAATGTAGAATTTTAAATTTATTTATGAAGAACTGTACTTACGTTTATATTTTACGAAAAGTATTAAAGATACAATGTAGATTTATAAACATTCTCAAAATCTTTAATTATTAATTTATTAAAATCGAAAACTAAAATTATTGCATTTTTAGCTTTATATTTTGAGTCCCATTTAAAAAAAAAAAAAATCATTTTCAATTACACAATTTTCAATAAAATAATATTACACGTAAATCAATTTTTTTAAAAAAAAATTTAACCACACATTCTCAAAAAATTAATATTCTCAAATGCTTTTTTTATTTGTCACTCAAAACGAGGCTCAAACAACGGAATCTCGAAGAATTTAGATAAGCAAATCAATTTATGAGTAGTTATGAAAAGGACAATGGGCACTCGAAAATTCGTATCGCATGAGATCATACTGAGACCTCACATTTTCTTGCAAAAAATCAATAATCATGCTACATGTATACTCTCTTTTACACTTTTCTTTACATTCTTTTATATGACAAGATCTGTACTTTTGATTTTCAACTCATCCATCGCATCTCTTCCGTACAGGGGAGGACGTTATACCCCTTGTCAACAAGGATGCACCTGTACCTTAATTCAAAAACCACTTGCGATAAAAGAATTCAACCAGAAAAGAAAAATTTATTGCCAAAATCTGCCTTGAATTAATTGTTTCATACAGAATCAATTCAATCACAAGAATAATCAGGCCGATTTCAACTTTATTGAGAATGAAACTTAATTAATTGTTATTTCATCACAGCAGTGATGGAACAACGCCGTAACTAAACATTCTATCAATTTCAGATTCGATTTCTGTTCGTTTGGCAAATCGACCTTTTATTCTTGGCCTTGTTTCGGCATAGGCCTTCCGAGAAGCATATCTTATCGTCTTCTCGAATTTCCTATTCTTTCTCTTCTCTTTGTACCTTAAAACTCTCGCTTCCCTGTCCATTCCCGACAGCTGATTTCCACTCGGATTGACGCTGCTACTCATGGTTCGAGCAAAAGGGTACGATGTATCAGACACACAACTCCCATCAGGCACAATCCCTACGTCCAGCGAGGATGACGATACCTGAAATAGTATCAATAATCAAGTTTAATTGGGAAAGACGAGCTTTTAAACGAGCTGATTCAACCTAATATGAATCCATCTTATTCGTCTACATGTTTTGACAAAAAATAATTTGACCCGACATGTGACGAGAAATATTTAAATTTTTAAAAGTGGTGATGCAAGATGCAGAATCAGAATTCAAGCGTAGTCGTCAAAATTTATTCGTGTCAAATCTTTTATAGGTATGAGACGTGTACTCCTATATAATATAGAAACGTAGTCTCTTCGACACGTTAAACCTTTAGATAAGAGTTTTAAGGGCGTTGCTATATACAGAGAATTTGTGAATGGTATTTACACTGAGACTGAGAGAAGGGGTGGTGAAGCTACTGTTGTATGAATTGATGTTGGATCTTGTGAAACCAATCTCGGCTCGATTTTCTGATGAAAAATCAGTCAATTGAGTTGGAACAGGAGGAATTTTGATTGTTGGTACGGGGACAACACTGTCAACTTGTGAGCAAATCGGATAATCGAAATCCAGGAATTGTTCCGTGTCGGTAAACAAGAATTCCACCGGTTTCATATCCTCCACCGTGACGGGGGCGCCGAGTTTTATTGCATCCGGATTTGCAGAAATATTCCAGGATTCATTGGAGCTGACGAATACGTTGCTAGTGGAATCACTCATGGGCAAAAGTCCGGTGGTTGCAGTCGACTTCACGACTGACTCGGCTGTGTCGAAGAAAGGAATCACCGGGACACGTTCGTGGCGGCTGGAGAGGGGGTTGGCGGAGTGAATATCACGGTCGCAGGTGACGCAAAGCGCGGCAGCGTCCGCCTTGCAAGTGACGGTGGCCGGCGCCTGCTCACACACCTCACACATCCATACACGTTCGTGGCTGATATTTTTGTGGACCTTGGCATCACAAGCCATGCACATATAGGCAGAGTCCACCCTGCAAAAGAGCAGCGCCGCTGTGGACTTGCAGTAGTCACATGACTTCGCCGCCGCATTCCACCCTGCCGGAAAATTCTTTGCTCTAGCAGCTCCACCACCATCTTTTGCCATTTCCATTTCAACTCTCTCTCTCTCTCTCTCTAGACAATAGTATGAGACGGTGTGGTGTACTAGTGGTCTGATTTGTGAGCCAATAAACAGATTGTGCATCTCTATCTTATTGGGGAAATTTCTCTCAAGGTCACTTTACTTGCTAGTCTATTTTAGGTTGGTATCTCGACTTCAGTTTGTTTCAATTTGATTACTTGATTTATAATTTTATTTCAATATAGTCACTTAATTAATACTTTTATTTCAATTTGACCATTCCATGTGTAACCTTAGAAGGACGAGCTAGCTCACCAAACTTTCAGCTTTTCGAATAGTTCAATCTTGTCGGAAGAAAATATGCTACTCCATTACATAAAAAAATTGAAAAAATTGTCAGAAAATCAACTCTAATCAAATGCTTTCGTAGAGAAGCAAAGATGAATTCATTTCTTTAGACCGAAAGCAGCTTAGTTATCCCTAGGTTGTACAAAGCTGGTCCTTAACCCCTTCCATTTCTATTGTAATTGTCGTATTTAGGACCAATCGATGCCTCATATGCATACATAGTATGGTGTGACCAACAAAATTTGTGACTTGACTAATGAATTTATGATATAACAACAAAATTGGTCCAATATTTATATACATTCCATTTGTCACTAAAAAAGAAAATTGTGACATTTTTATCTTTATCACTTAAAAGTTTATGTTCTCAAGAATATAACTAGGGTCTCACATTGTGTTGATCACGTTACTAATTTTGTCATGGTTACCTATAGAATGGTCAAATTGAAATAAATTAAAGTTTAATTACCAAAATGAAACAAAACTACAAGTCGGGTGATCCACTTAATTTTTTTGTGCCTATGACCCATCTAAATTTGGAAGAGAGTGAACAGGAAATCTGAGAGGTGACAAGGACAGATAGGTAGGTTTTAACCACATAAAAGATTTGATGATATTTTTGTGTAAAGTAACCGTCGTTGTCTGTGCCGACGTGTAGGGCCTACAATTGAAGTACATGAATTGTTCGACGAAATAATTTCTAGTTGGAAAGACTGAAATCTGAAATGGGATCACAGGAATTGGGATTTCTACTTGCTTTCTTTTGCCAAAAAAAGGTTTAACTTTTACCCACTTTTAAGTAGAAAAACCAACTTATTTTGTGAATCTTGTGAACTATTGTTATACTTGATACAAATGTGGCATTCTTGGTTTGCAACTCATCTTTCTAGTAGTATAGGTTTAACCTTTAAAATATAGCGTTGATCTCTAACCTTTTAGTTTCGTTATTGGATTTCTCCGATATAATAAAATTCTTCAAATTTGTCGTGTAACTTTTATAGAAACATGTTTCGCTTGAAACTTTTGCCTATTGGCTCGAGTTCAAAAGCTAAACTTACATCCTGATTGGTGTACATTTTTTCCTCAAGAATGCTTTTTTTTTTTATGTGATGGAGAATATGTAGTTGAAAAAGAAGGAAAAATTATTGATGTGATGGAAAATATTATTTTATTGAAAAATGTGTGATTAAAAATGAGTAAAAGAATGAGAATGAAAAAAATAATGTGGACCAAAAATGGCCTTAAATNATCTTTACGATTTTTGTCACAACGAACTCATTTTGTGTCTATATTGTAAAATGCATGAGGACTGATTTGTTTTTTAATCAAGTTGCCGTCCCAATCATAAAATGGAAAATTTTCTCCAACTGTAGTAGACCCCATTAAATAATTGCGTGTTGTGTTTCTCCAAAGTAAAATTTAAATTTAAAGAAAAGATGAAAATCATATGAAGTTGACCTGCAAACATGAAACCCTTTTTTTTTTTTTTTTGGACATAGGGAACTCGAAGCCGCTATCTGTCAGCGGCGCCTCAACCACCCCGAAAGGGCGGAGGCTCGACCACCGTGAATGCGCACTAGGACACTGTCTGGTGGAAATTTCTTTAACCAAAAAATCAATTTTTTTACTCTTTTTTTCCACACTTTTTGCTCCACCAGACACAATAAAGTCAAACATTTCGGCAGAATAGTGTACACAATGGCTTGTGATTTATAGCAGAAACAGACAGGCTGTAGGTAAACTCCGCTTCATGTGCAGTAGCCCACAAACCACACAAGAGAGGTAAACTGCGTTGGGCAAGCCCTGTGCGACGACTCGGCCAATAAAGTGTTGGTAGGGGATTCGAATTCGTAACATTTGGTCTCAGCGTTCACCTGCTCCACCAACTCGACCACCCATGAAGGAGCAACATGAAACTTTTATATTATAGCATAGTGAAATAAGAGAAGAGTTTAAAGTATAATTGTGAATTTTATACGTTTTAGTAAAAAAAAAAATTTCCTATTGCAGAAGTCACCAACCTTTGACAAACGTTGCACTCTAGTAGGCAAACTTCAGTGAGAAGCATTTACCCCAGCCATTCAATTTAGTAGCTCTTTAATTCCCACTGCGTGATTTTATTTAGGTGAACACGATTTGTTTTAGACCATTTTTAATATATTTTTAAAATAAAGCGATAGAAACGGTTAAGAAAAATTTCAAACAAAATCAAATCATTTCATTTTCGAAATCAATAATTTTTTTTTTATAATAAAAATGGAATAAAATATGACATAGCTATTGCTATGAAATTACTTTTGAAGTTTTGGCCAATGTTTGACATATGAGCAAGATCCGATAGAAGGTGCATTTCCATAATCTGTTCTTTTTGATTATGCAGATTTATATGCATATAAATATATGGATATATAGGCATAAAAATATAGATATAAACATTTGTCAAGGACAATTATCACACATCTTTGTTTTCTATTCCATTTCTGGTCCTTTTTTTTTTTTTTGAAGCACCATTGATGATTCCGGCAACAATAGTGACACCATTTATGTCAGCAATCACTAACGAAGGTGTTTTGATAATTAACATCGGATTGCTATTGACAATTTTTGTTAGTGTTCTCAAAAAGATTTCATTGGTAAACGGCATTGTAATCAATAATCGCTGACAAAAGACGATCACCAACGACATAGCTAGCGGTGATTCTATATGAATCACTACCATTGTTCACTGATTTTTCGAGCAACACTCAGATGAGAGTTGAGGACGTAAAGGTTGGGGACTTCGCTGCTATTTTTTCCAAAAATTTATGGTGAAATGTATCTACGTCATGCAATGCGTAAGCCAACTGAATTATGAATGGATAATAATACCCCTACGCGTACTACCTTCTAGATATTTTTATTAGCACAGATGCAAAATGTGATGAAAGGGAGAATGGACAGAGATTTCTTTTGTTGTTTTGTGGAGAATGGAGGGATAATTTTGGTAAATTATGGAAGATGTGTAGGCCCCACTTTTTATCGTGATATGCAGCACTTAGATATGATCGTAAGAGAATCCCATGATTCGGACTTCATAAATTTTAGAACGACTAAATTCGTCTAGATTTTAAATGATCCTTGCCCTATTTGTCATTATCATATCGTCCACCGTTAAAAGATACATTCAAACTTTATTGAATAATGTACATGTGACCCCCATGGAAGAATTATGCTAAGACGATCATTATAAGTGTACCGATGTACACTAATGACTCGCCACCGCCACCGCCACCGCCACATTCAAATTCAAATGCATCACAACTCTATTAAACAACAAATCAAGAAGCTCACTGTCATCTAAACATGTGGTGATGACTAGCACTACTCTATACTCAAATTTTGGAAGAATGTCAGCAGCATAGAATTTCTTGTTTTCAGCCCTTTAAAATGAAAACTACAAGTGCCAAGTTTAATATACATTACCAGACGGGATTAGACACTAAAACAAGATGTCATGTATTATAAGATAACAGAGATCAAGATTATCCCCATTTGTCTGGAACAACACAATAGTTCTTTTAAAACTAAGAAATTCAAGACAAGAAAAGAAGAAAATAGCTATTCTCTGAGAAAAAAGAAAAACATCCGGATTTAAGAAATATGTGTTATATTGGAATGCAGCAAGCTTAGCAATACATTTGTTCTCTTCCGTAAAAATGTAAAAATCAATTTTTATATCTCTCTAACACAATCCATACCGCTCGTGTTCAGATTTTCCTCAGACCATCCTGGACCAAAACACAGCAACTGACGACTTTCTACGAAAAATATTTAGCCACCTCCAGATTTAAGTGTATTGCTCAACCTGTTTAATTGAAAATATACAAAGTAAGAACATATAACAATATTACAGAGACTTAGTTGCAAGATAATACAATGCTAATGACTATTTGATTTTTTTATTATTTTTTTTTATAACCGTGAATGTCCGGATCAGCTTGCGTGTACCTCAACTAATTCCACAGGTCCTAAAGTTTACGATCAGGTACTCACCTCAGTGGCCCTGAGGGGACTCGAACTGGTGACCATTGGGAAGCAAACCCAAGGTCCGACCAATTGAGCAACCCCATAAAGTTGCTAATGACTATATGATATATGGAAACATTATTGGAGATGCATTCTTCAATTCAGAAAGCCAGAAAAATCTGGCCAAATAAAAGTGAGAAAGGTAGACTCATGATTACTTAGGAGGCGTATTATATTGAGATAAAAACAGTATGTTTCGTTCAGCCAAAACTATCATCATGACAAATCCATGAAATAAATCAGTTGAGCTTACCACTCCAAGCCCTCAAAGAGACCTTCTCCTTTTATGGCAGAAGTTTTGAAAATAGCCCATTGCCGGTTCCTAATCTTGTGCAACTCTAAGGCCTCAGTTACTGCAGCATCATCGAGTGCACCGAGAAGATCCTGCAAACCAAAGCAACATGGAAATTGTGCATCCACATGTTTTTTCTGCTTATAAATGTCTTTGAAAAGTGGTCCCGGGCTGCTCAACACTTTTGGACCAATTAAACACAAGCTAATTCATTCTTCCACAGCACAAGCAACAGGATAATAGCACACACCTGTTTGTTTGCAAATATGAGGACTACAGCTCCTTTTAATTCTTCCTCCTGATAAGATGGCATAAATAATGTAAGTTAATAGTCAAGTATATTGTATATATATCAAAAGCTAGAAAACATATTACTACATTAGTAATTAGCTAAGCAAGAAATTGGACTGAAAACAGTCGTATAAAAACCATTTTCCTCTCCAAGCAACATGTGAAGATATTTTCTATACTTGAGAGAGAGTAGAGAACTTTCTGAAAAATAAAAAAGGCCAGACAAGTTGCTGAGTTTGGTTTTCTGTAGGGCTTACTAATACACAGAGAACCCGCTTAGGGCCATTAGGCTTCATATGGCTGGGTAACTGAATATGATAAACAAAAGTTCTCTCACTTGTAAATATTCATTGAATGACGACCTTTGGAAAAGCACACCCTCGGTGTCCAAAATGCCAAGGCTGTGAAAAAAGGAAGTGATCCAGCCAATCTGGCTGCATCCATAATGCTGGCATCTCTATCAATCAAAACTATGTGTTGTCAATCCACACTTACTGTTTATTGCCTTCACAAAGCACTTGGAACACATTGTTTTATGTGTAGTAGGCCAACGTGGATGTTACACTTGGCTCCGAACTGTGAGGGTAGCTAATGATTTGTGAGGGTAGGGGTAGAATGTGAAACTCAGCAGAAGACAGCCTTACTCTACATGATCTTTCAACCCTCATTCTTCTAATGCAGGGGCAAATTGTAAATTGAATCCCTAATTTCTTCTTTTGCCTTCCCTGTCTGAACCAAAAATAAGGAAATTTTGGATGAAAAGCAGTGGCACAGGAAGGTAGGACAACTACAAGCTCTACTACATTTTGAGAATACCGCCTTTTACGCAGGTCTGACATCTACATTAAAAACGACCGTCCCTTGATAATTGGCATTCCCTATAAATGGAGCCAAAAATACACAAATAAAATATGCAGAGAAGGCATTAATTATATTGGCTTGGTAATTGACATTGGTCAAAATGCCAAATATGCTTTAATACAGAGCATAAAACACATAACAAGAAGCTTGAACCTTTATGGTGGAGCAATAAGATAAACAAAAAAGTACCTCTAATATAGCATGAAATTCCTCTTTAGCAACCACCAATCTATCTGTATCACTTGAATCAACAACATAGATTATAGCTTGAGTATTGGGAAAGTAGCATCTCCAATATGGCCTAGGTGGCAAAGGTTAAATTGATGTAAAACACAAAGCATGATCAATAAATATAGTATTTATGAAACCGTATTATCCTGTGCATCCAAGAAATTTAGCTAGAAACAGACTATAATGTCAGCAGCAAAGAACAAAATGTAATTTACCTGATACTAGTCTGGCCACCTGCCATTAGGAAAGAAAAAAACTGTTATATGAACAATTAAGAATGATTACTTCTTCCAGGTCAATGACTAAAAAAGAAGTAAAATTAAAACAGCAGCTGGAAACTTCCACATGTAACCGTGTTAGCAACTAGAAATTTCTCAAAAACTAATTATTCAAAAAAGCAAGAGAATCGAGTTCCTGAGATACAACAGAACCTTATGCAAGCTAACAAAGATGGCTAATTTCATATTTGTATTATGCCATAATAAAGGGGGAACCATACACGTTCTCTTTCAAATCCAAAAGTTAACGTCTTTGTCAGTTCCTAAATGTAGTAGTAGGACTGCTGATGGTACGAGTTACATCTCAGGGGTAATAAGGAATGTACTCATACTTCCTGGAAAGACGCTTAAAATGGATCACACTTATACTACGGGGAAGATTCTAAGCCTGGGTGAACAAAAAAAAAAACTCTCTCAATCTTAGTTTTGGCCTGTTACGAAAAGGTACTGTGCATGCTTGTACTGAGGAGGACGGCACGATAAAATCCAAGCTTTTTTATTTTTTTAGCATTCTAAGTGCATATTATATTCAGGAGTCTGCTAGATTCTGAAAATCATGAATCAATAGAGGGAGTCTAATTCAGGCTAATGATATCATCTTTCAAGAGATCATTGTTTGGATCATCGACAATGCCTTTTGCGGCTTTGCCTCAGATTGTCTCGTTCATTCTTATAAGCGAAAGGATTCCACCTAGACTAGGAGTCTCCTTTTAAGTTCGTTTCGTCAAAGAAGTAAGTAGATCACTGGTAGAGGAGTACGAAACAGCTAAAGAAGGTCAAATGTTACCAATCAAGTGCCCAAAAAGGAGAAAAGGACAATCCATCTGAGCCAAACAATCAGCACCTTAAGTTTCCCTTGCATTTATAAGTAAGAAAACACTGAACTGTTTAGCTCTCACTAGATCCCGCTAAATCCTCAACTGGCCTTTTTCTTCAACATACAATCATTTCATCCTATGCAGATATTTCAGGAACCATTTTTCATTTCATGTAATGTCCACTCTGCTAGCTCCACCTACCATCTACTCTTAATGGTGAGGTAAGCTTTCTTCGCTGCAGTATTTCCAGTTACCAATACAGAAAAGAAATTCGAAGACATCCCCCTAAGCAGGTTCATGACAAAAAACAGAAAAAAAGACTGTTGCAAGTAAAGAGCCTTCCTTTTCCCATAACCATACCCGTGGATAAAAGCACCCAAGTTTTGTACTTCAGTACATAAATGTATTTCTTAAATATATTTTTCTGATCACATCATAAAGATTGACTTAATATCAAATGCCTTTCTAATATTAGTTTCATATCAGTCAAAGTGAGAATAAGCACTCATTCAAGAAATTCCAGGGTCAATAAAACTACAACCTACATATCTACTTTGACAGCGCGAGATCCACAACATCAAATAATGATAAAAGTAACAACAAACTAAGTCTCATCCCTAGTAAATGAATAAAGTAGTAATTCAATGATATTCGCAGCATATTTAAAAACTGGAGTCTACGTTGCATCAGGAATTAAATGTCAAATTGCGTACCTAGATCCCAGACTTGGAATTTAATGTTATTATATTGCACTGTTTCCACATTGAACCCAATTGCTGCATCAAATGATTAAAAAAGAAAAATAAATTTAAAATTAAAATACAATTTTCTTACTTGCTTTCGTAAGCTAAAATTCAAATTACACTTCTCCAATAACTTTACACAAGCTTATATAATTATATATATAAAAAGAAAAATTCCTGCTCACAGAAAAAGCTCTTCTCAACTTAACCTCAAGCAGTAATTGTAGCTAAAAGTCCATGATCTAAATTCCCTTTTCTTTTGAATTTATAATAACAATAATAATATTTTTTTAGCACTTACTCGGAATAGTGGAAACAACTTCACCCATCTGAAGCCGATCTGAAAAGAATAAAAGAAAACCTAAGTAGATCAAATTTATAACAAACGCAGAGAGAAACCACTGGAAAATGTATAGACATGAAGCGATTCCATACAAAGAATAGTGGTTTTTCCCGCATTGTCAAGCCCTAATACAAGGATCCGAGCTTCCTTGCTCCCAAACAGCGACGAAAACAGCCTCGTGAACACTATTCCCATTTGCTATCAAATTCAAAATCAAAACTCTCTTAAAAAATGTCAGATCGAATCTCCCTCCAATCCTTTCTGCCAGAGGAATTTGGGGGTCGATTTGTTTCTTAATTAAAAAATATCAAACTATTGTAAATTGAGTTAAGCATTTGACAAAGTTTTTTTAGTCTCGATTTGCCTATCTTTGAACTAAAACGTTTTATTTCTCAAGCTAATTTTTAATCCTAAAATATTTTATACGTAAATTTAAATTATTTTTTTTATTTTTTATCGTTCTTTAAAACATCACTATTCAAAACATTTTTTCTTCAATTTTTCTTTATAATCACCCGCAAACAAGACCTAGATTATAAGCTAATATTTTTTGAAATTATAAACTAATTAAACTTTGTTTTTAATTATATATTTAATTGAACTCATACCACACACTACGTGGGACCCACCGTCTTATGATCTTAAAAAACTTTGTCAAACAAGTACTTAAATTTTGTATGAGTTCGTTATACCCACAAAAATAACGTAGTAGAAAAACCCGACCCAATGCTAGATCATATCACCTCATAAATAAATGACCCCGCATTAGGAGAATAAAATATAAAAGTCCGTGTCAAATTAAAGTTGAGCTCGGAACCTCAATGCAACAACTACATCCTTATGCACTGTATCGAGCTACGAAGGATCGAATGTCAAAACAATTCGCTAAGACTCATTCGAGTATGATGAAACTCGTGTTGATTACCTTCCTCACAATGGAACATATGCTTTTATCACAAAGGAAGCTGAGCTATGTAATCATCTTTGCCATCCTAAACAACCAATTAGAATGCTAGGCTCAAGTGTGTACGATGGGTGACAGATGATTGAAGTGATTACTATAGTATCGATCGTCTTCATCTCTATACATAGAGCCAATTTTGTTCTAGAAAAGTATGCATCCAATTGAAATATATTTCAGCTCATTTTCGTTCCAATCTCTCTAATTCCCACACCGAATAGTTTTCAACGCTATCACATTCCGGCTATCGACTAGATTCATGATTTTTTTCTATCATTTTCACGAACAATTAGCCCGAAAAACTCAAATATTAATTAAAATGTGCTGCATCATTTTATTTTTTTGTCATCAACAAACTTAATTGTATTTGGATAGTTAAAAAGTAAAGTTTAAACTAGAACTAAGCTAGAAATCTCACAAGTAGGGAAATGAATGGTCCAGAGCTTCAAATTAGTCATTTGAAAGTGAAGCCTAAATAAAGTACTCTTGCCCATACACTATAAGACATGTTAGAAACCTATAGTCAATGCACTTCTTGTTTTTGAAATATTGATTTATTTTTATTTTTTTTTTCGTATTTAGAACTCTTTTTCCTACTTACAAAAAAAAAAATCCACTACGAAAAATCTTTTTCAAACAAACGCTTTATTTATTTATTTTACTTGGACTAGAGGTTAGCTCATACCCTTGCAGAACATACATTGGAACATTAAGAAGAATGTTTTGGCTTGAAGATTCGAAAAAACACCTCTTTGCAAATTTTTAAAACGTGATAATAATTTCTATTTCTATCAAGAGAATGCATTTATGGTCCAGCTTTGGTTGGGCTATAAATTCAAGAGCACTTAGTTCTTGCCTTCTTGTCGTTCTCTGGTAATTGGAGGTCAAGTGTAGTCCTTCCTCAGATTTTCTTTCTTTTCCATTGTTAATAAAATTGTGTCCTTTGTATTGGTGTAATCGAAATCAATCAGGGTATGTTCTCTTTATCATTTTCAAGTCGTTTTCTGTTTTCAATTTTTCAAAAGAGTGAAAACGGGTTCTCTTTCCCATTTTGGAAAACGCGTGTTTAAAAATAAGTTAAAAATTTACAAAGAAAACACAAAACAATAAATTTGTCGTTTTGGGTGTTTTCGATCAAGCCAAAGTTTTCAAAATGCATTTTAGAGATTTTCAAAACAATTTTTTCAAAATGTTAAAAAGAACACATTAACACTCAAAATACAAAACTCAAAACACAAAACTGAAATACAAAGAGAACAACCTCTTATATTTTCTTACACAATTTTCTTGCCATTAAACCTAAAATTTCTCATATTTATACTTGTAGTAAGAGTATTTTTGAGCCCCATTTTTTTTTTTTTTTTGGTATAAAATGTATTTTGAAATAGCAAATTGATGAAAAATATGTGGTTAAAAAATAAAAAATTTTTTAGATTTACGTGCAATATTATTTTATTAGAAAATGTATTATTGAAAATAAGAGAGAAAAATATATTTTAGAAAAAATGGGAATTAAATAAGGGCTAAATACGCGTACATGAATCTTAGGTTAAGCTCCTATTTGGTGGAGATTGTTTAATCAAACGTGCTAAATCTGTATTCTAGACTAACGTTTTACAAATATTCAAGATTCTTTCAAAAGTCACATCTAGCTAGTAATTTGACAAGATGACAAGAACATTACATTATTCACATAACTTATAACACCAATAATAAGCTTCTCCACCTTATGTAATTTTCCCTCTTCTATGATCTCCTACAGATCCTCATATCTTCTGTTACTGCATACTGTACCCACTTGAGTAATTTTGATACATTTCTTTAGATTTCTGAAGAACATTAGCAGAATCCCAGGAGTTCGAGGATGCTGAATTGACATCAAATTCATTAGACCACCATCCTAGGTTATATAATTTTGAGCCATCCATTTCTTTGAAACAATCGAACTCATCAATCACCATCTGACTTCGTGTTGGCATAAAACCAACATCAAGTTCTGCTTGAGTGAATGCTGAACTAGGCTGAATTCCTGTGTTCGTGTTCGATTGCCCTGAAATATTTTCTATAGATGGTATTCCAATATTGATAGAATTTCCAAGCTCATCTACTTCCAAATTGCTCATATTGCAATACTCTTGTTGCATCAGAACGTCTCGGTTTTCCTCCAAATACTGGAAGTTTTGAACCATCTTTTCTTGCAGGGGAATCAACTTGGGGAACAATGCAGGATTATTGTATAAAGAAAATGGATTTGCAAGGGTTTTAAGTCGCATGTGAAGCTGAAGTCTTTCTAGGGCTGTAGTGCTCAAGTTCTGAAAGTTGTGGGTGTCATATATACCATTTGAATCCTGAACTGAAATGGATAGTCTATTTCTGTGAGGCTGTTTGTGCCTTCCCAACAGTTTTTTCTTCAGTCTAGTGTTCCAGTAGTTTTTGATATCATTATCTGTTCTTCCAGGCAGTTGAGCAGCAATTATGGACCATCTGATCAAATAAAAAAGTTAAAGAATCAGCCCCATATATATCTAATAATAAGGACTTGATCGAGCAAGAAAAAAGTAGATATAAAAACTAACAAAACCCTTCAAAAGAAACTTGTGCGGGACTGCGTGGAGCCTAATGACACCCTAAACTTAAGAGTCGCCATAATATTCCTACTATAAAGAAGATAATGTTTTAGGGAAGCAGATTTGCGTGTGCGTGTGCGTGAGCGATGTATGAGAAAACTTGCAGTCTCTTTGCATTATAGCGAAAACCTGTGCAGTGCAGCGACAAGTAGAAACAACCTTTACCTAGAGAGTAATGAACCACTATAAACACTCTTTGCTTTGTCTGATTTTGATTTCATAATATTTAATATTTCTCTCGTGAGAAGGGATTTAGGCTTAATCTGTAACCATTCGAATCCTAACGAAGATGCACAAGTTATTCTTCAAACAAAGGCATCATAGACATTTGCAAAAGGACAACTAGCTAGTTCAATCTGAAACTCAGGGCGGGCAGGTATTGCATTTTTTGGTTTGTCTGCAACTCTCTCCATGTGCTTTCTATGTGTAGAGAGAGAGAGAGAGAGACCTGCTGCCAATACTAATATAGAGGCTGCAGATTATGTTGTCTTCTTCCTCAGTGAATCCACCATGTTTGAGGTTAGGTCGCAGGTAATTCAGCCATCTCAATCTGCAACTCTTTCCACATCTCTTAAGCCCTGTACATACATATAAACATGTGATATGTATACACTCACAGAGAGAGAGAGAGAGAGAGAGAGAGAGGTGCATATAATAGCATATATACCAATTTTCTGAGGAAGAGCAATCCAATTGCCACCAGTACCACATTTCTCAATAAAGGTCTTGAGTTTTGCATCTTCTTCAGAAGACCATGGTCCTCTCTTCACGTTGTCTTTGTCACAACACGGGGCTCTTCCCATCTTTTTTCTCTGTGTTTACTCACTTGAATCAACGAACAATTGAACCCTTATGACGTTTTTCGACCCGAGTTGCTTTCTCGATCTCTCTTCTCAAATTCTCTCCTAACCAAACAAAATCAGAAAGAAAGTTTTCTATGATTGCCGAGGAAAAATGCAACATAGGAAGACCTGTATATATAGGAAGACAAATGATGATGTGATACTCACAAGAACCAATAAAGTCTTACCATCTAATCTAGGGTTCATGCATCTCTCTCTCTCACACACACACACACACACATTTGGATTAGTTAGGAACTCAAATTCTGTATTGTGTACAAAATGACAAACAACTGCATAAATTTCTCTCGGATACATATATTAAAATCATTTGCCTTTTTTGAGTTGTATATAGTTTATTGTATGAAGATAATGGTCCAGCAAAATCAAGAAAGAAGCCTCCATTCTATTATCTTGTCGTCGAATAATTACTCCTGAAAGAGCATATAATTGGGCCTTAATGGTCAACGTACAGCAGTGAGTCTTAATGTTCACTTTTTAAAGTGTAACAATGTTAAGATGAGTATACCAGACGTTAGATTTTACCTTAGGGTGGTGACTCGTTTAATAAATACTAATCTTGAAACCTAATAGTCTGTTTGAGCTTTGGAAAGATAGATTACTCATTTCAGCTTTATGAATTCTAAATACGGTACTGAGTTTCGTTTTCTATCTTTAAAGGTTAATAATATTCTTATGTTGAGTTGTTTTAATAGCAATTATAATATTTGGAACGGGATGTTGAGGCAGTTCGAATATGCATCT